AAACATTACTGAAAGTGCTTACAGCTCTATGTCTGATGTCCTTTTAGTTTATCAAAGGATTACTAGTTTCTGAGAAGGTCCTGTTCAGCAATACCGTCCAATTTGGCTCAGATTTCATTCAATTACTCATTTCAGGTTGGCCCTAATTTGTATTAATGTTTTTTTATATTAAGCATATGTCAACCAGAGGAATAAAGACACATCATTTGGTTAGCTGTCCAGTGCATTTTCATTTAAAGTAAAATAAGACCTGTGAAAAGAAATAAAGAACCTTCTTTTCAACACCAATAAAAATACAATAACATGAACTGCACAGTCAACAGGGCTCGCATGAGTTCATTTAGGATAACGTGCATGTTGCAATTCATCATTATAATATGAAAATACAAGTTCTGTACATGATGTGCCGGGTTCAGAATGTTCAGGCCAGCTTTAAGAGCCGGTGGCAGCTCCAGTAATCAGGCTCTGATTGCATGTATGATTAGAAAAACAGAAATAATGAGCGGGTAATTATGTAAAGAAAGCTTACCTCTGCTCTGGGTTTCCTTTCTTCTATTTTTAAATCCTCCTTCTTTTGCCTTTAGCCTATTTTTCACAACTTGATAGATTAGTGTGTTAGGATTTTCAAATCTTTGCATTTTGAAACGGTCATTACTGGACAAAGGTGGGAAGTAACTGAGCAGATTTACTCAATTACTTAAGTAACATTCTGAGGTACTTGTACTTTACTTTAGTATTTCCAATGTACTTCTTCTCCTCTACAGTTCAGAGGTAAATGGTGTACTTTCACTCCACTACATGTATTTAATACCTTTAGTTACTTCACAGATCTGGATGAATGATGTGAAATATAATCAAGTGTTAAATCAGACTTTAGTTCCACCTGGAGTAAATTCACAAGCTACCCTGCAGTATACAAAGTCATTCAAACTAGCTGCACCTTTACCAGCTTTGAGAACACTTTCATGATCAATCATTATAAAACATATCATATATATTATTCTGAAATGGACCAATCTGCACAATGACTACTTTTACTGTTGTTACTTTAACTATATTTTGATGATAATACTTTTCTACTTTTACTTGAGGAACATTTTGAATGCAGGACTTTTACTGTAACAGAGTATTCCTACACTCTGGTACTTCTACTTTTACTCAAGTACACGATCTGAGTACTTCTACTTTTACTAAAGTACAAGACCTGAGTACTTCTACTTTTACTCAAGTACAAGATCTGAGTACTTCTACTTTTACTCAAGTACAAGACCTGAGTACTTCTACTTTTACTCAAGTACAAGATCTGAGTACTTCTACTTTTACTCAAGTACAAGACCTGAGTACTTCTACTTTTACTCAAGTACAAGATCTGAGTACTTCTACTTTAACTCAAGTACAAGACCTGAGTACTTCTACTTTTACTCAAGTACAAGACCTGAGTACTTCTACTTTTACTCAAGTACAAGATCTGAGTACTTCTACTTTAACTCAAGTACAAGACCTGAGTACTTCTACTTTTACTCAAGAACAAGACCTGAGTACTTCTACTTTTACTCAAGTACAAGATCTGAGTACTTCTACCTTTACTCAAGTACAAGATCTGAGTACTTCTACCTTTACTCAAGTACAAGATCTGAGTACTTCTACTTTAACTCAAGTACAAGACCTGAGTACTTCTACTTTTACTCAAGTACAAGACCTGAGTACTTCTACTTTTACTCAAGTACAAGATCTGAGTACTTCTACTTTAACTCAAGTACAAGACCTGAGTACTTCTACTTTTACTCAAGTACAAGACCTGAGTACTTCTACTTTTACTCAAGTACAAGATCTGAGTACTTCTACTTTTACTCAAGAACAAGACCTGAGTACTTCTACTTTTACTCAAGTACAAGATCTGAGTACTTCTACTTTTACTCAAGTACAAGACCTGAGTACTTCTACTTTTACTCAAGTACAAGATCTGAGTACTTCTACTTTTACTCAAGTACAAGATCTGAGTACTTCTACTTTAACTCAAGTACAAGACCTGAGTACTTCTACTTTTACTCAAGAACAAGACCTGAGTACTTCTACTTTTACTCAAGTACAAGATCTGAGTACTTCTACCTTTACTCAAGTACAAGATCTGAGTACTTCTACCTTTACTCAAGTACAAGAACTGAGTACTTCTACTTTTACTCAAGTACAAGATCTGAGTACTTCTACTTTTACTCAAGTACAAGATCTGAGTACTTCTAGAAAAATAGACAATATTTTTACAAAAAACGTGACTAATCTCAATATTAATCATATATATTAAAGCTAAAAATGCATCAGTTGGCTTTTTATTCAATTCTGGACCAATTTTATGAATGCTCTGATTTCTTTAACTCTCCCTTTGTCATTTTGTTTGCAGTTTGAGCCTCTCTTGGCATTTAGTAGATGTGTGAAAGCACCTAAACTATCAAATGTGAAGCATTAAATGCTTTATTTAAGAATGATATTGTGATCTATATATTTTTTTGCATTTCCTATTCAATATTAATCTTTTAAATGCAATTAAACCAATGTTTAACATGTCAAAGCCTACAATAGTATGAAGGTAGATATGGTGCAAAATGCGAGAGCGTGTAAAACCTGATGTGAGCACTTGCAGAAAATAAATCTGAGCTTGTGTGCATACATTTACACTTGAATAAAATATCCACGTATCTGTGAACCACATTTGAAGTCACAGAAGAAAAAAAAAGTTGTGTCGCTTGTAGAAAATGAACTTATGATGAAATGTTCACTTGCAGAAAATATATATTTTTTAAATATATTTTCCATTACAACTGCAACTTGGTTATTACAACCTCTCAAATCAGTCATTACAACTTCACGAATCTGCTCTGTGGCAGTATAAATCGATGAATATGCGGCCTTGACTTTTGCTACACTTCTTGCGATGAATGTGTCGCAAAAGTAATTTTCACCTGTAGATGTGGGGGGAGGGAGGGGGGTTGGAGCGAAGGGGCGGAGCTATCAGACTGCGGGGCCCTGCATGTTGCCCCTTTCACATCAACGCCGTTCCAGGGCCGGTCCGGAGCTAGAGCCTGATAAGCACCGGTTTTTCCTGTTCACGCCGCAGCGAGGACGGCTCTTTTCCACGAAAACCGGTTCTTACCAAGCTCGAAAAAAGTGTCGGTCTAGAAGCTAGAACCGCATAGCCTACGTCACGCTTACGTCGGAGGGGGGCGAGATTAACCTGAACTAACAGTTTATGGAGAGTAGCCTTCGGCAAATAAAAGTTGAAACAAGCAGTAGCGCTGAGCAAAGTGACAAGAACGCATTTGTAAAATAAACACACTTTATAAAGTCAGGCAACACTAACCAGTAACCAGGCTTCGTGTGATTCTGTTTATTTGACCATCCGTTCGCTGTTATTGATCATTGTGGAGGGGGCAGATGTTTTGTTTTGCATTAGCAGCTATCAGATGGAATCAATACATGGGCTGCTCAGGTTGTCATGTCCGACTATCACAAGTAGAATCATAATGAAAAATACGCCGGTAAAAAGTGCCTGTAGAAAACGGCTTAGGCCTACCTTATGCCACAAGTTATAGCAACAAGCTACAAGTAGCCTAGTCAAGATAGTCAGTTTAACTTCGGTTGCTATGATAACATCACCCATTTTATACCAGAGAAACTTTCATAACAGCGTTGTGATGCCAAACAGCGTCAATTCAGACTGACACACATTCACTTAAGGGGAACTGGGGATATGTATCAGCTGCTTGTGTGACAGTCAGACAGTGAATACTTTACAGCGGCCGCTGCTGTGAGTTAACGGGAGAATAAACTCCGGTGGAAGAGCAGCACTGCAGCACTGGAGAAAAGAACAAGGTTGGAGAAGTAGTTATTTAATTTAATCTGGCTTCGTATGATTAAAAGTAACACGATCATCGACCCGACGCAGTCCCCCATTGTTGTTGTTGTGAGCGAAGCACGGAGCTAGAACGGGAGCTGCGTTGGTGTGAAAGGGGCAACAGTAGTCACTAGTGTGTGACTGACCCGAGAGCCTCGTCGTTCTGATAGCTCCGGCCCTTCGCTCCAACCCCCCTCCCTCCCCCACATCTACAGGTGAAAATTATTTTAGCGACACATTCATCGCAAGAAGTGTAGCAAAAGTCAAGGCCGCAGATTCGTGGATTTATACTGCCACAGAGCAGATTCTTTTCTGCAAGTGCTCACATCAGGTTTTACACGCTCTCGCATTTTGCACCATATCTACCTTCATAAATAGCGCCCCCTAAGGCCTAGTTTCCTCCCTCTCTGTAATATTGGGAAATGTTTGCAAGTTTTTGTCAATTTTAAAATATAAAAATAATAATAAGGTACTTGTGGGTTATCTGTCGCGAGAGAGAGAGAGAGAGAGAGAGAGAGAGAGAGAGAGAGAGAGAGAGAGAGAGAGAGAGAGAGAGAGAGAGAGAGAGAGAGAGAGAGAGAGAGAGAGATACTTTATTGATCCCAACATATTGATCCCAACATATTGATCCCAACATATTTATGTTTTTTTATTAAATTGTCAGTAAAAACATGGCGGACACCCGATTTATTTTTAGTGGAAAATCCTAAATTGTAGGATAGTTTGGCAATTAAAATGCTTTTTGATTAAATTTGTATATTGTACTTTTAGAATCTACGTCCAGTGGATGTGTAGGATCCAGTTTGATAGATATTAAGAAGATTATTTGAGCTCCATGTATTTTTTTTACAAAATATTGTCTTGAGAGGGTTATTTGTGAATATACTACGTTTTGCGCTGTCGACCAACGTAGCTATTACACGTTTTTTTGTGAGACTGGGTTGGCCCCTCTCATGAAATAATTGGTCCCAGCCTGGCCCCCCCGGTAAAATTGATCTAGAACCGCCACTGGAGAAGCCTCAGTGCGTAAACTTGGGACGGAACTCCAAAGCCTCAGTGAGTTAAGTTGGTCTCCATACTCAGTTCATCCACAGCCTCCATGTGCGTCACCTTTGCGGGAAACCTGAGGAGGATTTCGGATTCCGGATGTCCCGATGCTCACTTTGCTCTCTGACAGATGAGAAGAACCGGCGTGTTGCTGATGTGAAGCGGATTTCCCTCTAACGGATCATCTGTCCCGGAGCGCGGAGGGGACATGGGTCAGCTTTATGGTGCGACTCTCTTACCATTTGGCGCTATCTGTGTGGTTTTCCTGTGGGAATCTGGGGCCAGCTCCATCAGGGCGACGCTCGCGGTGGACACCTCGAGGTGAGTCTCGTGGAGCTGAGAACCTTAACATGTCAATATAATCAGAGGTGGCAAAAGTACACACATCCTTCATTCAAGAAGTAGAAGTACAGATACTCGTGTTTAAAAGTACTGACTAAACTTCTTTACTTTGTAGATGTTTCAACATCTGATGTGGTTTTAAAGATGGAAACGACATTAAAGCTTGGGAACATCCACTGCACTCACATTACTTGTTTATTTCACTTTTACAAACACTGTCACATACACAGTGCCAAAAGCCATGACAGAGTTTAGTCTGTGTTTTATTGGTTTCACGGCAGAGACCTCTGGATGAACCTCTGCGGATAATCTAATGTGATTTTCAGGGAAATGCAAAAGGGGAAACTCCAAATGGTTGGAGCCAAATGTTACTTTATGCTCAGACAAAACATGACAGATGCTGTTTATGTGGTCAGGAGCTAAAGGATGTGGGGACCTAATATAAAGAGTAGAAGAAGAAACCACTGCAGGAAAACCCAAAAATAATCAAATATAACCTTTTTGTAATGCATTGTGGTATCTTTTCCTAAATGACAAGGTACAAAACCCCTCAGATTTACGCTTTAAAAGGACACTTATGCTGCTTTGATTGGTGGATATCATTAAGACTCTTCACATGTATGAAACTGTAATGTTGCCCCTGCTCTAATAGAAACAAGAACAAGTAGCTATGTTTTGTTTATTTATTTCACATCCTGAAATTCTAAATGTTTATTTTCTAAAATGTAAATGGCATGTGCTGCTGTGTCCAGAAAATGTTCGAGTGCAGAGCGAGTCAGTTTGACCTGAGAGGAATTTACATGTTTACAAAAACAGAAATAAGAACAGATGCAAACATGTTTTTGTGTTTGTTTAGCGTCTGCATGTTACAACCGTTTTCCCGATTGATCGCTCTGTTTTCTGGCTTCATTGATTATAGAACACATTTTGAAATAGTGAAAAGTTATTTTCACTATGGCAAAGATGAAGTCATCAAAACAAACACATGTTTTATTTCTGATATTCAATTCATGAAAGTGCTAAATAAAGGAACATTATTCACCATATTGAAGCTCATACAGCAGAATGATTGACAACTAAAAAAAATAATGAATTGGTTATACTGTACTTATTAATTTATCAAATGAGCTGCAGATAATTACTTTCAGTTGTTGTGTGTTTCTGAAAAAAGAGAATATTGGCCAATTTATTGTTATCCCATTTTTTGATCTCTTAACAATCTCTGTAGATATCGACCTCAATTCTCCAGTATCAGTCAGACATAGTGGAGGTTTAACCATTGACTGTATATAAAACATCGATGTAGTCACGGTACAGACTGTTGAATTGTATTGTTATATCATATTTAATCTGTACTATGTAGTATTTTATTGACCTGTACTTTAATCTTGTTTTATAATTGTTTGTGTGATAGAGATTATGCAATGTTTAAGGACTGCAGATGGAAATGAGCTATTAGCTCAAATCAAATCAAGGTTTATTTATAAAGCACATTTAAAAGCGATTTTTGGTCGGGCCAAAGTGCTGTACATGTAATAACTACAATCACATAAAAACACATTTCTATAATCACAATAAAAGACAATAAATTACAACAGATATTTAAAAAAAAAAAAAAAAAACACAGGGAAAAGTCAGGAGTCGTGCTCCGCTCTGACTAAAAGTCCAGGGAGAAGAAGTGTGTTTTAAGAGTAGATTTAAAAACCCCTAGGGTCTGGGCCTTTGATTATGCAATGTTTAAGGACTGCAGATGGAAATTAGCTATTAGCTCAAATCTGGCATAAATCATCTCTTCTCTTCTCTGAGATTAATGTATTTTAAACGCATGGTTCTTGTTCAAATAAATACATAAATACAAATGTCACCTATTGGTTTGTGGAGCAACGTTTTGAAGCCATGAAATTACATTTTTGCGGGTTGCCTTTTTTTTTTTTTTTTGTAACCAGAAAATAACCCAGTTACATCTCGGTCACATACAAATATTTACTACAATTACCTTTAATGAGCTTAAAAAACACCATGAAAGGAATGCAATTGTGAAAAAATAAATAAAATTGAGAACCAATACTGGACAACGCTGTGTGGTAGCGACCTGTCAATCACAAGGTAGTCAAATTCTAAAGCATACTCTGCTTTATCGATTATTTTACTTTAAAAGGGAACATAATTAACATAATAAACATCATCTTGCATTGAATAAGACTTCAAACTAGAGATTGAAACCATAAACTCAGCACGAAATTGCGCAGAAAATGACATTTTTCTCATAGACTTCTATACAATCTCACTATTTTTGTATGTTCGCCCCCTGCTGGATATTGGAAAGAATGCAGGTTTAAGACACAGAGGCCATTTCTCAATCGCGAGGATATTGGCTTCCAAGCCAATATTTCAAGGATGCTACGTCATCGAGTGCCGCCGAAGGACTGTTCCAATCTCCAGCATACTTGGAATTCCACCGAGGCCGCGTCCTTGGTCTGGGGGAAATTTCGAGGCTGCACATGGGTAGACTTCGTGTCCTTAAAATCCCCACAATGCTTTGCGCATGGACCAATTTCCCCAAATCTGTGACGGAAGATGTAAGGCGGGGCCTCTCATATGACGCACACCTGCACACTTGCTAGCCTGTTCCACTCTTCGTTTTCCGAATAGCAAGAAGTATTCTTGCCTCGCTTCTGAAGCAAGATGCTCGGCTCGGCTGTGCTACCAAGCCAGCATCCTTGCGATTGAGAAACGGCCATAGACTTCACTTTACAGACCCAGATATTGCTGTTGCAATGTCCGATGTTAATGTGTAGAGCTACTGGGAATCTGTAAGTAATGCCAGTCCTTCTCTTTTCAGAGCGGAGTGTCCTGATAATAAGATCTTGACGGTGGAGTACCCGTGTGTTGGCGCTGGAGGGAAGAGCAGCACGTGTTGGAGGTAAGACTCTGAACTGGATCTAATAACTGAGCGTTACGGTCCGACACTACATCTCTGGTTTGGCATTCACAGGACGCTCTTTCCCAGAACAGAGATTTGCTCAAAGACCGTCTGACAGGACTGGTTGAAGTCTTTATGGAGGATTGAGCACATTGTTTCTGTGGCTTTGGAGCTGTTTCTGAAACCACTAAACCACCCGCTGTGTGCAGATCGTTCACACAGTTTCACTCCTTTTGGAAACTATAAATCCTCTTGGAAGAGAAACATAATCATTTTCTAAAATCCTCTCTGAGAGGCAGAATCAGTGTTGCAAGGTTTAAGGTTTTTACGGGCAACTTTTGTGTTGCAGAAGGTTCCTTTTTGTGTCCATTGATGGGGTAGACCTATGTTTAATGCACATTATTTTAAATACAATTCATAATTCATACCCAAATCTTCTAAAATGGCTTCTATGATCCAGAGTGTTGATAAATCGTGATCTTCTCGCTCCCAGGAAAGAAACTTAAAATAACGAGACTAATGGAGTCTCTGAAAAGGTTCAAATGGGTAGTTTAATTAAGTAACGTGGTTAAAGAACAAGCATGGGTAATGGAGAGACAAAGCCGGTGTTGTCTTCAGGGAGGCTGCAGCGAAGGAAAGAGAGCGAGCTGTCCCCTGTCATCCCTTTTTATTCTCTCCTCGTTCTCTCCCGCTGTGCAGATAGTGGGACCTCCCTTCTCATCTGTGGGTTCGATATCGCGAGAGAACAGATGATTTCGACATTGGTATTCTCTGCCTACTTCCTTAAGCCTTTTCTCCTCCTTATCTCTGTGATGACTTTCTATTTAATACCTTATAAACAGCTGTAATCAAATCAAATCAAATCAAATCAGGTTTTATTTATATAGCACATTTAAAAGCGATTTTTGGTCGAGCCAAAGTGCTGTACATGTAATAAAAACACATTACTACAAAACACAATAAACGACAATAAATTACAACAGATATATCTTAAAAAACAAAATAAAAATAAAACACACGGAAAAGTCAGGAGTCGTGCTCCGCTCTAACTAGAAAGCCAGAGAGAAGAAGTGTGTTTTTAGTTTTGATTTAAAAACCCCTAGGGTCTGGGCCGACCTCACATGGAGGGGCAGAGTGTTCCAGAGTCTAGGGCCAGCTGCTGCGAAGGCTCGGTGCCCTCGGGTTTTTAGCCTGGTCTTGGGCACTACCAGCAGCAGCTGGTCAGCAGACCTTAAAGCTCTGGCTGGGGTGTAGCGCTGGAGCAGTTCAGTTATATAGGCCGGAGTCAGCCCATGTAGGGCTTTAAAAACAAATAAAAGGATTTTAAAATCAATTCTGAACCGAACTGGAAGCCAGTGTACTGAGGCCAGAATAGGGGTGATGTGGTCACGCTTTTTGTGGCCAGTCAGCAAACGTGCAGCAGCGTTTTGGACTAGCTGTAAGCGTTTGATTGAGGCCTGGTCCATACCCACATACAGAGCGTTACAATAGTCCAGTCTCGAGGTTACAAAGGCGTTAATAACCCTTTCTTGGACTTGGTTTTGGCCAATAGTCTTATTTTAAAAAAGCAGGATTTGACTACAGTGCTGACCTGCTTGTCGAATTTAAAAGTGCTGGTGAAGGTCACTCCAAGGTTCATGACCGAGGGGAGGATGTTTTTTTTTATAGAGCCCAGAATATCAACCGGAGAGGCTGGAGGTTGCGGTCCAAAAAAGATGACCTCGGTCTTGCTCTCGTTGAGGTTGAGGAAGTTTTTGCTCAGCCAGGATTTGATCTCTGCTAAGCAGTCCATCAGCTGCTGTAGTGAGTGTGTGACATTTGCTTTGAGAGGCAGATAGATCTGTACATCGTCGGCGTAGCAGTGGAAGGGAATATTGTGTTTAGTGAGAATTGAACCTAGGGGCAGTATGTACAGTAGAAAAAGGATGGGGCCCAGAATCGAGCCTTGGGGAACCCCACAGGTAAGAGGGGCTTTGGCAGAGGAGAAGGCACCTAGCTGTACCGAGAAGCTACGGTCTGTCAGGTAGGACCTGAACCATGCAAGGGCAGAGCCTGTGATGCCAGCGGACTGTTCAAGCCGTGACAGCAGGATGCTATGGTCCACAGTGTCAAAGGCAGCTGTCAGGTCTAACAGCACCAAGACAGCTGGGCTACCTGAGTCGGCGGCTAGGAGCAGATCATTAAAAACTCTTAAAAGGGCTGTTTCAGTGCTGTGCATGGGTTTGAAGCCAGACTGAAACTTTTCATGGATTCCATGCGTGGTTAAAAAAGACTGCAGCTGGGTTAGTCGTTAGTTTAGAAGTCCTAAAAACACCTCTACGGCACAGTTCTCATTTACGGAAACTCCCTCTGACGTCATAGCTTCTCACGTGTGTGTAAACACTACGATCAACTGTACCTTCATTTAATATTCAGCAGTAATAATATCTCGACGTCTATAGATGTAGTGTTAAAGTCCGTACGTTTTGGTGTGTAACACTTCATGTCATTTTCACTTTACATTCAGAAAACGTAATATTTAGTCACATGCTAACCGGATAAAGGATTTTCAGAATAAAAGCTTGGCATTGATTTCCTGAGAACTTCCGGGTTTTTCCACAATAAAACAGCTTTAAACTGACGATATGTTTTAGACTGAATTATGCTGTTTAACATTGATTTTAATTTCTAACAAGAGACATGCAGGCAGGGAGGAAAAAAGATACATCCACCGGTCAGTTTGTGCATCAATGAATTGGTCCAGACCTTAACAGAACCTTATTTATTTATGATAACAGAACCTTATTTAATTACAAACAGACCTTTAGGACCTAAGGGAAATAACAGTTTGAATAAACTGCATTTCATTCTGGCACACTTAATATTAAAGGTGGGGTAGGTAATTTTGGAGAAACCAGCTCGAGTGCGCTAGAATTTGAAAATACACAGCCGGAAAGAATCTGCCACTTCCTCACAGAGCCCCTCCTCCAACACACACGAACGCGCACATGACCAATGAGGGCACGAGATAAGTTTGTGCACAGATGGAAGGCTGACAGGCAGGTAGGCCATCCAGTTATTTTAGCCGGGCCGGCTCAGATGATTGGTCGTGCTTTTTACAGTACTACAGCTTCCACAGATGAAATTTATTTTTTGATTTTTTGTCAAATTACAATTAATTCGGGCCACATGTGAAACATTTTTGGAGAAAAAAGTTTTTTTTTTTGCAAAAAGTCTGAATTCTTATATTTTTTTGAAACAAATAGAATTATATAATTATTCTTTTACACCGAATTCTGAGATTAAAGTTAAACAAAATGCACATGTGGCCCTTATCCTCTTCTGTAGTTCTGCGACCCAGAACATCATCTATCATCGCTCAGTTCTTATTTTTTACAGATCAAAGTGTCGAGATTTGTCGACCAATAGCAATAACTCTTTAAGAAGTCAAGATTATTATTTTAATTCACCTAACCCTAACGGTACGTCTACACAGCAGCGTTAAAAAAATCTTGGAGGTGGGCGTATCTGAGGCTTGGGGATTTTTTGCGAACAACCAATCACATGAATCTCCCGCCCGCGACATACGAAGCCAAAAAGCCCGAAGTAAACTGGATATAAACTCCCCAAACAGGCGAAAACATACCACTGTCTCTGCCACCTCCCTCCATGCCTGGCTCCTCCGGTTTATATCCCGGTAGGTCTGGTCATAAAGCACTGGGTGATTCCCTACCGCTAATTTCTCCTCCATTTTTTGGAATATGAGGAAATGACCTGCGGTCTGTCTCTCCCAGCATACACGCCGTTTGATTGGCTAGAGCTTGAACTGCCAGATTTGCGTACACGGGATTTGATTGGCTGCCGCTTCCACCTCAGCTTCAAAAGTTGAACATTGTTCAACTTTGAATCCTCAAAATCCTGAAAATCTCCGCTCGCCTGCCCACAATGCATTTCGGCGAAAAGTGAGGGAAAGTGACGTCACCCCATTCAAAGTGAATGGGCAGAAGCGTTTCAAGATTTTTTTAACGCTGCTGTGTAGACGTACCGTAACCCTAACCAAACCACACTCATTAAACCAAATACAGATGTGCCCTTCGATATTTTATTCTAACTCATGTTGTATTTTGTCAGACCTTTGGAAATCTACATGACTAATATCAGTATTGAACAGAATATACTTGCATCTTGCAGATCATCAGCGCTGATGTTTTCTACCAGCCTCGCTCTGTCAGTAAAACACAATCTGATCTTGAACTTCCTCAGGTCGGAAAGGCATCCTCCTCAGGGAGCTAGCCTGCATTATCACCTACAAAGTAAAATAGTCTGGCATAAGAGGATGTGACTAGATATGTATTTGTACTGTAGCCAAACAACCGTGTTATACAAGGGGAATATCAGTCCGTTTCTGAGAGGAATGAAACAAGAGGTTCCTTTCGTGATCGTCCATCTTTATTACAGCCTCCAGGGGTCTCATTTATGAAAATGCCCTTTCATATCATATTGTATGAGCATCTTAAAACATAGTTAAAGGCAATACATCAATTGGATGCAGACGATATGGCATGTTGTCAGACTTTTAGCTCATGATACATCATGTACAACAGGAGAAAAGCAATGTAAATCACACTCTTTTAGACGTTTAGATAACTTTCTTCTGAAACTAAGCCTTGGCTTGGGTTCGGTTGTTGGCGTAAGAAGATCTTTTAATAAATGAGGCACCGGGTCTGGCCAGGCTTTCTGATCTGTTTACTGTCAAGGTTAGACTGAAGGAGTCTGGTTCAGTCTCTGGCTGGAGAGAGGGGATTAGATGGGGTTGGATGTTTCCTTTTCCATCTGGATCAATTTTGATTTCACAAATTACTCCAGGGCCGATCAAATTGAACAATTACGTCTATTTGTTAGTATTTATTTCTATTCAGTTTCAATGAGAGCGATGTGCTATCCATTCAGGTATTTCCCTTTTGGTAGACAGACTTAAAGAGGACCTAATCTGTTTTTAGAGGTACTCCCTTTCTTGAAGT